TATTCAACTTGCAAGTAAATTTAGTGATAATTTCAAACTTATTAGCTAGCGGGACTTAGCTGCCTCCAAAATGGATTGTATCTTTCCTGAAGTGTACTTTTATGATGATTTTTTTTAGGAAATGCAAATTGCATTAAAACAGGAAGAAAAACTATTACAAGCTAAAAATGAAAAAAAAAACTAAAAAAATTCCATTTCCAAAGAAAGGGAAAGGAAGCCCTAAAGAAAGCAAATAAAACATAGAAAATTTGTATTTGCAAAATAAAAAAAAAAGACATAATGGAAATAAGATCCACTACTCCTCACTTTGAACTAGTTGGGGTGTTGGGGACACCAAATTTTTAAAACAACCAAAAAAGGTTGGTTAGTATCCCAGAGTTCTCAAGCAAGTAAAAAGTTACAACTGATAGAGTCTTAACTTCCATTACTCTAAATTCATAATGCAAAAACACAAAATTGATAAACTGAAAATCAAGAGACCAAATAACCACCTCTTCATTGCAGACACCAACCAACAAACTCATCAACGTAGTCAACCCACTGACAGACAAGAACTCTAAAGTCTCCATTCCCTTCCAGTCTTCAACAATCATGCCAAGATCTTCAAAAATCAAAGTAGTAGCATCCATTGGCTTAGTTGGGATATGATCCCACCTAAAGTCTTCACCAATGCGTCCAACAACAAACACCTTAGACGATCCAAACAAAGTCAACGAAGCAATAACAACAGCTCCAACATCAAGAGGCCAAGATATGACCTCTACAATACAAAAACCATACGAAATGATAATCATCACCACCATGGCAATCGAAAAACCAGTAATATTCAAATTCTTCAAGTCTTCACCAAACAAGACTTGATCTTCATAGAAAAAAGAAGTAACATTCTTAAGCCTAGATTGGATAAGCTCCAACCTAAAACTACCTCCAATACGTCTAGGAGTGTCAAAACAAACTTCCATATAAGAACCAAACAACACTATATCAATCACTGCAATAAAACAAAACTATTTCATTAAAAATATAAGAAATTTGAGTTTGTTCACAATCGAAGGCAACAAAATAACCAACATGACTGCATTATCTCCAATAATCTTCAAGAATCCATGTGCAACCGGTTCTTCTAAATAGAAAGATCTACCTTTACAATCCAAACACCCATACACCAACCATCTCATAAACATAAAATGATCACACACCAAGAAGACAATCAAACCAAATCTGGAATCAAGAAAAGCCATGAACCAGAGCAAACCCAAGCTCCAATTACCGCACATAATAACGAATTTAAGCCAAGCTGAAATTTGTTCCAAGAATTACTGTAGGCAACAACGAGCCAACAAAAAAGAAAATCCTCCAAAACACCTTCAGATTTGTAGTCTCAACAAAATCAATCAAGAATCTAATACGAGTAAAATAAACACAATCCGCATAATCGAAAGCCAAACCAAGCTGACGGAGAACCGTCATCATGCAAAACTTTGCAAAAATCGACTTGAAATCAGTAGATTCACCAAAATCATCGGTCCAAAGAACCTCTGCTGGACAAATATTCACCAAAATTGCATCTCTACACAAATTGCATTTAGCCAATCGAAATCTTGATCCGCTAAAATCACACCAAGGAACTTCGTCGGCCATACCAGGCCGACGAAGAACCACCGAGCGCCAAAGATCTGTCAAAATCGCTAAGAATGCCTTTTTCACCAAGATTTCCTTCTCCGCTCCGCCAATTGCTGAAATTGTACTTTTATGATGATTGTGCATTGATTTTTGTAAATCATTTTCTACATTCTTCTCTCCTCTGAATGTATCTTGTGAAAATTTTAAATACTTATCTAGGGATCTCATTACGCGGCACGATATCGACCCAAATAAATATTTAAAATGCTCCCAAAACTTTAGGGACACTCATAGGTGTCATTCATGGACTCTTTTTCATTGCTTTAGCTTGAGTCGTAAGATTTTGGTTCCTTTTATCTTGTGCTTTGTGCGACGAACTTAGAGAAGGATTACCTGATTTTTTCTTTATTGACTTGTTAGGAGATTTGTGTAGCTCATGCCTCATGCTTCTAGTTAAAACATAATTAAACTTTTCTAAAAATCACCTTAAATGTTTTAGCCTTTCTATTGCTGTATAATTTGAGCTTTTTTATCTATAATAATTTCTAATTTTCTTTTTGTAATCTATGTCATTTGGGTTAGTAAAGTTTATAATATAATTAGTTTGGGTTGTACTCTTACGTGTAGAAGAGTACTTAGGTTGTAAGAAACTTCTTTAATTTAAAAAAGTGAGTTTTTCTATGAAAATTTGGGATTAAGGATTCTATCCTAGGAGTTTGTTTGCATAAATGTAGGGTAGAATGGTTTTTAGGATGAACCACAAAAATCTATTATGCCTACTTTTATTTTTTTTGTTGCTTGCACCCATGTATAACTTTATCATTTATTTAACTTGCAAGTAAATTTAGTGATAATTTTTTATTTATTTATTTATTTATTTATATATTTTATTTATTTATTTTTTGGGTGCCATAGTCATCCAAAAGTTAAACACCCTAAAATGATAATGATCCAAATTTCATATTTTTTTGAACTTGTGCCTCAAAAAAGTTAATCGTGTAATGGTTCAAGAGCTTAAATGATGAGTTTCCAATTAGAATCCTTGATTATATTTTATGATCGACAATTTAGTATTGATGAACAGTTTACGCATGCTTACATTGGTATCATAAGCCCACATTGAATTTTGATAATCATTTTCTTATCATGGGTGATTTTTATGTGATGCCAATAAGTGATGAAGTCTATTAAACCATCTTAACTGAGATATATTGTTACATGTTGATATTGTATGTAAAAATTTAATGTACTCTTAATGAAGAGAAAGATTGGACAAAATTTCTTCCCAAACCATGATTACATCTTACCACGAATAAGGGATAGAAATGTCTAAAATAGTTTTAAAGCATCTTATTCGAGATACTCTAATATCTTTGTTCAAATCATTAATCTCTATGATTTCTCTTAATACCTCGATGATTTTTCATACAAGTGAAAATAATTCACCATAATTCATAAGCCCGCATTGTTCCATGATGATCCCTATTCAAAAGGCAGCTTGACACAAATTAACCGTGGATGTATGTGTTCTTATGATACTTCAATGTCTCATTTGATAGCTATTGATGAGGTATATAAAACGTTGAGTAATGCTTTTACTAGAAAATCAAATTATAGTTGTGAAGAACTTTTAGAGCAAGTGAAATCAAGCCAACATTATAAGACAACCTTATTCGAGGTTACTCCATCAGAAGTGCCAATATGGAGGACAACAAGAAAATGAATATATTCGTGTTTGTCAAACAATAAGATAATGAGATGAAGAAGCTATTTTTTATGAGCAATTCGTTTATACCCCTCAATTCACATGAAACTTTTATCCTATGAGTTATTCAAATGTATATGTTTACCAAATAAAGAGCTGTGATTTTCGTTGAATGGTTGGTCTTTTGTTAATAATATTTTGTTCTAAATTTTCTCTTTCGTAAGAAGAAATTAACTACAATGTGTGTCTAATATGATCATTCCTCAAGACCATATATGTGGAATTTTGCATTTAAGTTGCAATAAGCTTATGGGTGGTGCTATGAGAATATCTAGTTTGGGTCATGCAATAATCCTATAATAAAATCAGATACTAATGATTCAATAATAGATAGTTAAAACTAAGATAAATTATTGGTCATATGATAGCTAAATTAAATATTACAGACTTATATGGAGCTTAGGATATAAGGAGGCAATTAATGTAATATTATGAAAGAATTTTCTAAGCATATTAATCTTCTTTAGTGGGTTGAAATTTTGTATGCCTAATTTTAAGCATGAATGGAACACTCTTGTTCGATAAATAAAATATATTTTATAAACTGCTATGAGAATTGATGTCAAAGTCATATGTTAATGAAGCTAGTTGAATTGCATTAAATTTCATTTGGGACAATTTTTTTAGTGTTTTCTGAAAAATGCTTTCTAATATAAATATTTCTAATTCAATAATTTTTTATATTAAAAAATTATTTTAGAAAGTAATAAGATAATTGTCCCAAACAAAAACTTCTAAATGAAACAGACAAAGTTATACTTGACTATTAGATCATAAGCTACTTGATAAAAAAGGGCTTAATATAGTATATTGAATTTTATAGTAAGGGAAAAACTTATTTGAAAATTGTAAATAGCATGTAAAGTGCCATTGAAATCAATCAAGCAAAATAAATAAATAAATAAAATACGTTTCTATAAATTATAAGTGTTTATCATCTCAACTTATTTTATTTTTAATTATATTAAAACAAATTTTCCTTAAAAAAAAAAAAAACAAAGCCTACCATTGTAACAAAGTTTAATTTCAGACCTTCAAATAGTCCATATAATATCATGTGAATAAGTCGAGAACAAATATAAAAAAAAAATTATGTAAACCATAAATTTATATTCATTCCTAAAATAACTTCAAACTCTAATGCATAAATAGAAAATTGGGTCATAAAATAAAAATAAAAGCCAATTTCCTGGTGACTGGGTTAGCCAAATCAGTAACATTTGCTATAACGTGTGCTAACAATGTGAGGCCAGTCGCCCCTTCAATTAGACTGGCCAAATTTCAAATTTTCTTTTTTATTTGGTTTTACAACTAATTTTCTTAGCTCCCTTGACAACTAGAGAATGTTTTTAAAAATGAGTTTTCTTCTAATTTCCTAATTTCATACCCCTTTGATCCTTTCAGGCGAGTTCTGCAACAGCTATAAAGAATCATTACTAACGCTACCAAGTCCAAACATAGGTCATTTAACCAAACTATTTCGAACAAAAAAATAAATCCGCCTCTGATAGTTACAGAATTGAGCATCAGACATCTGTCTTGGGTAAAATTTCTCAAATTGAATGCCAGCATTTTACTTCTTCTCAGAACAGAGGCTAAGCTAAGAGCTATCGAATCATGAAATTACTTATATAGAGATCGCCTTCAAACAGGAAACAACCACTGTATTTATAGAAGTAAACAACCCCGACTTGTATTAATAATGAAATAAAGTATTGGAAGAATTCCTTTCTACAGCTCAAGGATTTCAAATCCATATCGAACTCTAAACTTCTCAAACACTGCATTTCAATACAAAGAGGGCACAACCATGCCCCTTGACCGTAATTGACAACGTTCCTTCTACTAAACCATAGTCCTTTCCACTCCAAACCTCATAGCAGTTGCATGAATTGTTTGTTAGGAATCGGCTGCTAAGAACCTTTGACAAATCACCTATTTTGGCAGATAATGTTGTAGTCGCTGGACTGAGGTTGAAGAATGAAAGATAAATTTCCCCTGTATCAGAAAAATATTGAATAAGGAAACATTTCTAGGCTGGTAATGGATCTTTACATAATGAGATTTTTTTTTATCCCCTTTTAGGAGCTAGTATAAATTACAAGATTTGCAAGTGAAATATTGCCACTAGAAAAGATATAGTAGTGCGGGTGGAATATGAGAAGATAGTGTGATAACATCACGTCTTTTTTATGACCTTTAGTATAAATATGAAAACTAAAATGTGTTGTTTTGAGTAATTTAAAAATGCTTCTTTTAAATTTAAAAAAAAAAAAAAAAAAAAAAAAAAAAAAAAAAAACTTACCGCTCACCCCAGTGGCAATCCAAGAGCGGGGCCCAGCAGCATTTTCATAATCTGCACACATATTAATTTGTTTTATGTTTTGATGCATTTCAGACGTACTATATTGATGGAAAAGATAATCAAACTCCAATTGAATGCCTTGCCTTTAGCTGATTCCATAGTAGCGCACAGACCAGAGTAAGGATTGATCAGAGTTCCATCATCACTTAACCTCCACAGCTGCAGATCAACCGTATGTCAGACTCACATATAGATCTTCATCAAGGAATCACAATATCTTTTGAGGATATTAAGTTTACATTTTCCTCTTAAAATTCACGAACTATATAAAAATTCAAAAAAATTTATTTCTAAACCTTATCATGTCCACAAATGACAAGAGAGATGTAATAGACTTGGGGGCAAACCAAACGTTCAACGAACTACTCATTGCTCGGTTATATTAAAGTTCATTTGTGATCGTTTAACTAAATAAATAAACAAACTTGAATAATATTTTTAATACTCGATCATTAAATAAACAAGCTTGAACACTAACGTGTTCGGTTTATTTATGTTCATAAACAACATCATTTGATGCTCATGAACAAGCTCAACATTAAGCTCGTTAAAAACTCGATTCGTGTTCGATTTAGAACTCGTGAATAAGCTCGATAAATATATTCATATAGATTAATCATATTTTTATTTTAAATAAACAATTGCTTTTATTATAAATTTAATTTCATTTTATTTTATACCTTCAATAAAAATGAATTTGTTTATGAACAAGAGACATTTCATGTTTCACAATGATTGTTAGGGTGTTTGTTTAAGATGTTCATGAACAAATATAAGATGAATCATAGATTGTTTGTTCGTGAACGAGCTCATTTGATAGCTCGATACTAGTTAGTTATGTATTTATTCATGATCTTGCTCATTTGATAGCTCAAGAATACTCATTAGAATTGTTCATGAGCATGCTTGTTTGACAGTGTAAAAACTTTTACTAAATATATTCATAAACATAGCTCATAAAGGCTTGTTTATTTAAAGCTCGAGAAGCACTAAATGAACCGAACATGAACCGAATATGAACACCATTAATTTAAATGAACCAAACATGAACACAAACAATAAAGCTCGAATCAAACATGAACCAAACTCGAGCAAGCTAATAATAAACGAACTCAAACATGAACAATCACATACTCAGCTCGGTTCGGTTCGTTTGCAGCACGAATAGACTGGTTAAAGGTGGGCGACGAGAAAGAAGATCAATGAGGAGTAATTACTTACTATTAAAGATCAAGATTTGAAGGGATTAATTAGGAGATGTTTCCTAATTAAAAATGATAGATTTAGGGGCTGAATAAAAGAGGAAAATGTTTCCTAATTAAAAAAGGGGAGATTTGGGAGCTAATTGGAGGCTGGTTTGAAGGGGATTAATTAGGAGACATTTCCTAATTAAAAAAAGTTTGTTGTTGTATTTTATACCAAGGCGCATCAAATTGATATTAGAGAGAGATTTTTTGGAGAGATGGCAGCAAAGAAAGTGGATGTGTTGAAAGGAAAAATAGAGCAATTCAAATTCGACGAGAAGTTTTTAACTATGAAGAATCAAATGGAGAGCCGAATTGGAGGGAAATAAAAGATGTTAAAGAAATTCATGAAGATGCATCAAAAACACCACCGGTGGTTCCAATTACTAATCCTAACCAAGAATGGACTAGAATTCTCTTTGCTGAATCTAAGGGAAAAGAAATCAGACGAGAATACTTCGATAAGGAGAGTTTCTTTCATCAAGAACTACCTCCTGGGGCTTAGATAAGCGGCAGATCGGGGTTTCTGAATGAAGGGGTGAATGATATAAAAAGCTCAGATGCACCCGTACCAAAAACCTGGCCATAACCTTATTATGCTCGAATTACCAACCCAAAAGCCAGCATCCTATGTATTAGGTGTTCTTACTGAAAAGATTGGCCAATTGCAATTCATATCACATAGCCAAGAGGATGATTGGCTTGAAACTGAAAAGAAGGTGAATGTTATCCACAGCTTTCATCAAATTCTGAAACCTTTCATGCTTAGGCTCAAAGATTTGGAGGGGTCACTTCCCTTCCTAGCAAAATTTGTCAAGGTGGCTCTTAGGACTGTCCAGAACTATTAGTCAAGTGCTTCAACAACAATTTCTTATATTCCACCTTGATGTTAAGTGCTTCAAGCTCTTGGTTAAGCAGGTGGGCCCCAAAAGGTGAGCAGGGGGTAGTAATTACTTATCATAGAAGACCAAGATTTGAAGGGGATTCATTAGGAGATGTTTCCTAATTATAAATGACAGATTTGGCGGCTGATTTGGGGGCTGAATAAGGGGGGATTAATTAGAAAATGTTTCCTAATTAAAAATGGCAAATTTGAGGGCTGATTGGAGGTTGATTTGAAGGGTATTAATTAGGAGATATTTCCAAATTAAAAAGGTCATATTTGGGGGCTGATTTGAAGGGAATTAATTATGAGATGTTTCATAATTAAAAATGGGCAAATTTGAGGGCTGAATTGGAGGGGATTAATTAGGAGATATTTCCTAACTGGAGAGGGCTAATTTGGGGGCTGATTCGAGAGGGAATTGGGGGAGAGTTGTTTTGGAATTTTTTTTTGTTTTATTATTTGCTATAACTAGTAAGATTTATGCAATGTTTGTATGGAGAATTTGATTTGAGAGTACTATAGTTTTCTTTTTATGAGGAATCCTAGTGGCGTCTAGGGTTTGGGAGAGAAGGTCCTCTCGAAAGAGGATCATTGTATCTTGTTTTGTTCATTTTTGATTTTCTATCAATGTAAATTTATTTTTGTGTTAAATATCTTGGAGTTTGTTGTTGGTTTTGATACCAAGGAGCATCAATATGTTGGAACAGATATCATTAATTTTCTTTTTGTTAGACAATGCAACCAATTTCAAGTTCTGAGAAAGAATGTCAATAAGCAACATGTTAGTAGCACAACGAATAACGGCAAAAAACAAGAATGGAAACAATGTCATATGGAAGAAATAGGGAAACATAATACAAACTAATTCTGACAAAGCAACCACAAGTTTTTCTTAATAGGCCAGGGATGCCTGTCCATTTGCTATTTTGTGAACTGGATAGCATCCTTGATGGTGCTTTGAACAAATTCAGCGTTTGATTTGCCAAGGTCATAGCTTCATAGAAAAAGAGAAACACAACGTACTAAACAACAAAAACATAATCAATAAGGAACTAAATATTAGAAATTAAGATATTCTAGAATATTCTTAAATAGGGAAGATTGGACAGGCCAACTAGAATGACAACAGCATAGACTAGTCTGATACCCTTTAAGGTTAATCTCCTTGACTTGAAAGGTATTGGAGGCATCCGCAGCATGCCCTCATGAATAAAGACATACCCTTCTGATTATAATTTTTTGGTATGAATTAAAGAAGAACAGGAAGAAGATACATCTTATTTTAGTAACGTCAGGCATTTGAGAGAAAATGTATTGCTCTCAAGATTTGTTTTAGGAAATCATTATTATATTGATGTGATTTAATCATATTTTGAGAGATTCTTTAGACTTTTGTTGAGTGTGAGCATATTTTGGATTTGGAAAAGAGCTAATGAGTGCTCTTTTATTCTTGAGATCTAGTTTATTAATAGCAATAACAACAACAACAAGCATTTATCCCGCTACTTGGGGTCAGCTATATGAATCACTTTTCTCCATGGGTTCTTATTAAGAGTCAAATTCACATTTAAATATAATAAATAAAGGGTCATTTCTAATACTTTCTAATCAATTCTTTTTCAATCAACCTCTATCTTTCTTAACATATATCAAATCTAATATCTACTCTCATAACTGAGTCATCGAAAGGTTGATGTTTTATGTGACCAAAAAATCTAAAACAACTCTCTTAACTTATCTTCCACTGAAGCTACTATAACATTTTCATGTATACAATTGTTTTGCATTTTTTTCTTTAGTGTAAAGTCATTCATCCACCTAAGCAGCCTCATCTCTGTAGCACTTCAATTAATTTTATGCTCCTGTTTTATTGGCTAATATTCTGCCTTATAAAACATTGCTAGTCTCATCGCCATCTTACAGAATTTCTCCTCAAGGGGAGGTTTTCTATCATGCAATAGTTCCAACACATTACTTCAACCATCCAACTTGAATTATGCTAACAATATCCCCATCTACTTCTTCATCACTTTGAACAATAGACCTGATATATATATCTAAAACCTGTACTCTTTTTAATGACTTGATCTCCCAGAGTCACAATCCCCCACAAGATCTATTACTATTAAAATTGCACTCCATGTATCCAGTTTTGGTTTCATTCAAATAAAAATCTTTAAACTCTAAGGTTGACCTCCATAATTCAAATTTTTCATCAACTCTCTCTCTGTCTCTCTAGTCTTATCAACAAGAAGAATATCCATCAGCAAATAAGCAAACAACTGGGTACATCCTTTTGTAAATGTCTAATAAGAATATCGATGATTTGCATAAAAGATATGGGCTTAAAACAGATTCGTGATGTAATCCAATTGAAATAAGAAAATATTTGGTTAAATCACCTTGTGTTTAAACACAACTAATAGCTCCTCTCTACATATCTCTAATGACTTGAATATTAGCATTATAAACTCCTTTCTTTTTTAGAAATCTCCAGAACACTTCTCTTGTTGTTGTTACATCCAAACTAATATTTATAATAAAACTTTTTATTTTTTATCTTTTCTTACACATTTTGATTTCACTACCAAAATTTTTAACTATTACAAGCTTATCCTTTTGACACATCAAGCACATATTTTACAACATTTTTAATATCACTAATTGCTTTTTTCTCACATAGCATTCATTATTTTATGAATAATCAAAATTTTCAAATATTGAATCTAGCTTTCAAAAATATTTTTATTAATATTCTTTAAATGTCTCCATCTAATCCTATAGCAATATTTTATTTCATCTTTCATATTTAATCCTTTCATCTTAAAGTACAAAACAAATCAATAAAGATGGATATATAAACTTTCATTCAAATAACTTTAAAATATTTTTAATCTAAGTAATTTATTTTTCTTATAAGAAAAAAATTGATCTGAGTTTTTAAAATATTCATTTTTTATAAGTAATGAGATGCTCCTCTTTCGTTTGAACAAGGTATTAGCAATTACAAATAATAAATTAAAGCAAATCTAACATGGTTCTATCACCTTCATTAGTCTTTTTAAACCTATAGCCGCCACAAATATTTTCAAAATCTTCTAACACTATCAATATATCTAATTAAATCTCCTCCAATAAAAACTCTTTTTTTAAGAGGTAACATTTTTATTAATTTTTTAAAGTCATTTCAAAATTTTAATTTTGAACACATACAAATCTACTTGAAAAGTATAAGCACATATAATATTAATAATCTTAGCATCAATAAATAATCTTTAAATTTATAATTATATCCCAAACTCAATTAATTTTTACAACATTATCTTTTAAGCTCTTATCTATAATCACACCTACATCATTTCCAGTATATAACTCTTACCTTAGTACCATAATTTAAGCTTAAACTATCAATTCCCTCAATCTTTTCTTCAAACCATTTAGCTTCCTGAATATATAAAATATTTCTCTTTCAATTAATCATATTATCATTAATTTTATAAGTTTGCTGATAAGAGAACCTATATTCTAAGTTTATATTCTAATTCTACTTACAGCTGGTTGTCAACTACCTAACACAACCCTCCATTTCTCTCATCCAGAGCTTAGGACCTTGAAACAATAGTTTTAGTTTATTAATAATAAGATCTTAATTTTATTTAAAAATATGTTTAAATTTGAAACACTATTGTTTACTAGGTAAACCGTTCTTTGCTTTTATTAAGTGTCTTTGAAGTTTAGTTTTGATTTCCTTCTACATAAAGAAGACCCGACATTTCATAAACACTGAATAATAAGATCTTGATGAATCACCTATTCCTTGCATACGCAAGATTAAGATCATTACTCGGCTCTCCTTCTATTTGAATCATCTTAATGATGCTCCTATTCCTTACATACACATGATTGAGATCATTACTCATGTTTTCTTCAATGATTTTATGATTATCAAAATCTAATTAAAAATTTTTGGGCTCATAGTTCAAAAACATGTACTCCGACATATGTGCTAAATATGTAAGCATAAAGTCTGATAATACTAGATGTGCTAAGAATAAGTTAAACTATATTCTCTCATTTTAAGTAATGTGAAGTCGCTCTGTAAAGCCTACAACTACTTAAAAAATCTACAAACTTTTTTTTTTTCAAAATTAAACTTACCCATATGTCCTCTGATGAATATACAAAATATTCATGCATAAAGTTTGAGAATGATACGTATGCTAAAAATATGTTAAACTAAAATTCTCTCATTTTAAAAGTATACAATTATATTGTAAAGCCTATAATCATTTTAAAATCTGCAAATTTTGTTTTCAAAATTAAACTCAACCGCATATCCTCCGACCAAGTGCATGGGCTAAAATAAGAGTGAACTCGGTTTAGCCCCATTAAAAAAATTGAATTATTTTTTAAAATTCACAATCCTTTTCAGGCATAAATTTAAGCTCTTATACAACCATGCTGGCTCATTTATAAGCCAAGGTTGTAACACACATTCCAAGCAGATCCTCCTCGTAAGCACTAGAGTTGCAAAAACTTGAACTCTAATGATAGTCATAATAAAATTATAGGGTGCCCCAACACAAATTATTTTGAGCTTTAATATATAAAAATTAACTCCTCCAAAAAAATATATAACACAGTAAAATTTACCTTATATAACTTAAATAACTAATTATTCACCATTCCCAAACATTTATCAAAGATTATAACATCAACTCATAAATAGAAATGCATTGTTGAGCGCATCTCTAAGATTCATTCTTAAATGATCTCTTGCCAACAAGAAACATGTCACATGTCATCTTTTACTGCTATTTTTGCTGGCAAATTGCATCATAGGAAATGATTATAACTGATGCCCTTTGATTAGATGTTTTTGTCACAAAAGAGAAATGAGTACCATTAAATTACGTTTAAAGATGGAGGTCATAAGTTTAGGATTATAGTGCACATTATATGACACAAAACCCTATGTTAACTAGTTGACTTTTATTCATCCCCATAGAGAAACATTCACCATAGGTCTATAAGTATCTCTTAGATGAAGATATTTATGGCTATCAATAAAGAATCTTCAGTCAGATTAAATCGACTACTTACGTTGATTAAACAGAAAATGATCCATGACTACTCAAGATGACAAAATCATATAATTTTGAACAAGTTCAATATCATCCATCTTAAGTTTGTGTGAATTCTCAATTCCAAATCAAATTGTTGCTAGTATATGCTAAACATTTAACATCTAACAACTAGTCTTAATTCAAAATTCTCTCTTATCACTGAGAGGGGTATTTAATCATAGGGGCTTGCACCAATGAAAAATGTAAGACTATATCATAAAATTCTCAAAAAATAAAGTTAAAATCTCTTGGTATCATCTTATTTGAATGCCTTACAAAAATTTAACCTATACTAAAGTCTCAGCAAAGCCGAGGTATGAATTTTCGAAGCTGCTTGTTTGAAAAATATTAAATTTTAAGTTATCATATTTTGCATGAAAATTACATTAAGCTATCTTTTTTTGCAGAAAATTTTCATAATGGAGGTAAAAATAAGCTATAATTGAAGTAGTTCCACATCACCACACCTTAGAGTGCCGCAATACAAGAATCCAAAAATCCAAAGAGGAGCATCGAAGCACTGCCGTTTAGTTCATTTTGTAGAACTATGGTGGAGCATCTTTCAAACGATGCGGCGTTAGTTCATTTTGGAGTATCAAATCATTATACAAACGAATGCCGCAGCGTTATGACAAATTATTGGACTTCTAATATAAATTTTTGGCTCAATTTCTGACGAGGTGAGGATTTTGTTTTTTGTTAGAATTCTTTTTCATTTTCTGTACAATGGGAGAGGGAGAGGGACAAGCAAAAGGAGATTGGAAGCCATCTTGTATCAATAATTTGGGTTTTATCTTAACAAACTCGTATAATTATTGTTACATTTGAATTAAAGCATTTCCTAATTATGTTTATTATAATGCTTGGCTAATTTATTTTTCTGGGCTGATGACATGATAGTAATGTGTGTTATATAGAGTTGGCCTACACACTTAAAGTTTTTCAATACAATTTTTTTTCTTTCAAATCGAATTTATTTGTGTATAGTTCATGCATAAATTTAAAACATAGTGTGATCTATGTCCTAGATAGAGGCATAGTGGACTAAATAGAGAAACTTGAAAGAAGTGTTTGAAACTATAGACATATGTTTGCATAGAACTTTGGAATTTCTATGGAGAAATTTAAAACGTGGCAAAGTGATAGCTTTGATAGAACTTCAATGAGCTCGATAGATATGATCAGTTAATTATGCTTTAATTTATAACTGTAGTTTTTGGACCAATTTATGGCTTTGTTTATTTAAAACGTGGCAAAGTGAGTAACTGTAATTCCTAGCTTTGTTTCCTTTTAGCACAAATAATTCATCTATAATAAGATAAATCTAGCTATTAATAAAATTAGTAATAAGCTAAAACTGAGAACATTTAATTTCCCATGGAAATGATACTTAATTCACTTCTATATTACTTGACATTATATATGCACCTGTGTATAGTAGTTACAAGTTAAAGTAGGTGTAAGAGTAGTTTTTTGTTATGTGTTAAAAAAAATCATTTAAAAAATTAAAAAACATAAAAAATATCACAATGATTTAGAGATGACAAATCTAGTTCATGAGGATGACCAACCTAGACCTTTAAGAGATACCGCAAATCCCTTAGTAGATAGTACGCTAAAGCATTAATATACATAATATTCATATACATAATTTTGAACTTAAACCTGTGATTATCAAGGTTGTACAAAATTCGTAATTTGGAAGGTCTCCGATTAAGGATCCAAACCTACATTTTGCATGATTTTTAGAAATATGCATAACTTTCAAGTACAACATTGTCTTTGATGACTATGTTAGACTTGGATTCTTTTTAGTTTTTTGAAAAAACAACAAAATTGGATTTAAATTCCATACCCTCATGCTCTATTACTATTTGGAATGATCTTACATTTCCAAACAAGATATTTGCCTCCCTCTAAATGGCTAAGCTGAAAATGATATCACATCTTTTAACTAATTAGATGGGGAATCCATTTATGAAGCCTGGAAGCAATTTAAGGAAATGTTAAGAAAATGCCCACACCATGTCTTACCCAACTTGTTCATCATTCAAATATTTTACAAAGGGTTCTGGTAGGTTCGCTTAGATCTATTATTGATGCTATTGCTAGTGGTTCATTAATGTCCAAACTCTTTGATGAAGAATATACTTTAATAGAGAAAATGACCAATAATAACTTCCAATAGCCCTCTAATAACTTCCAATAGCCCTCTAATATAATTCACCCTAAGTAGGTTAATAGCATGCATGATTTTGATGTATTGACTATCGTAACTTCTTAAGTTGTTTCAATTTCTAGGAAGTTGGACAATTTAGGAATTACTTCGATGCAAGGAGCACCTATAGTTGTAGATGAAAATTTGTATGGACAACTTAATAACTCTAGTGCCTCTATAGTAGAAACATTGAATTTAGTTAATAATAGAAAGAACAACCATAACCTTAATAGTTGTAACTCTGGTCGGAAGAATCATCTCAATTTCAATTAGAATAACAATCAAAATGTAAGGAGTGATAATTGGAATAATCACCAACCAAATCCCTTAGGCATTTGGAATCCTCCTCCATAACAAAATTTTCTTATTGTGTGAAAGAAAAGTACCCCTCAAACTTAAGAGAAAATTCTATAAGAAGTGAGGCCTGCAATGCTTTATGGTGCTGAATGTTGGCCATTCAAAGAGAAGCATAATACTAAGTTAAGTGTGGCAGAGATGAGGAAGCTCAGGTGGATGAGTGGTTTTACCCTTAGAGATAGGATACGAAATGAGCATATACGTGAAAAGGTTGGAGTAGCTTCAGTAGAAGATAAGATTAGAGAGAGTCGCCTTAGATGGTTTAGTCACATAAAACGGCGGCCTTCCAATGACCCGGTTAGGAGAGTAGAGGTATTAGATTTGACTAATGTTAAGAAAGTGTGGGCTCCGAAAATTCGGCCCCGGCCTCTGCCCGCACTGTTTTTGTTTTTTTTTTTTTTTTTTTTGCTTCGGTGAGGAGTTTTAACGGAATTAAGTTCTAGGGTAAAATTTGAAAGGCATTTAGGTTTGTAGATAAGACACTACCTAGAGATTTCGCCCTCATTTTGCGAGGACTTTATGATCTGAGTTCTGATTTCCTACAGGTGCAAACCTCTATAGTTAATTACCTCTCCCGATCACGAGAGAGAACTTTTGATTAAGGCTAGTCGTCAATCAGATACGTAGAGATATGTGTTATCTGGCATATAGTAGCAGCATGGGCTTAGGTTTGGAAATTTGATATTTAAAATAGAAATTTCACCATCTTGCGCTTAAAGCGGATGTTGGGGGAATGGATGATGGACCCGATCAAAATCCCATGGTTCCGTCGTCCAGGGCCATCATGGTCCCTGTTCTACTTAGTCAGAGGAGGTAGTCGACCTTACATAACAGAAGGATCCTTGTCGGCAGCCATGGGTTGCTTCATCCAAGGGGACCTTGTAGACCTAGGGTGAATGATTGTTTAAGGGGATAAATTTGAATCCACTTTAGCTAATATAGGACTTTGTGCCTATCGATTGTATCATATTGATTCATATGTCAAGGATTTGATGTCATTAAGGAGTGTATTGACTCTGGACATAACCGGTATTTCATAGTGCAATTTGGCAGCAAAACCACTCGGTTCAGAAGGCCCTGGGTCATAACCGTTTATCTTGCCGTGCCATTTGGCGGCAAAACTGTAGGTCAGAAGACACGTGCCATGTCCTTATTAGTAGGAGATTGTTTGAGAATAGATCATAGTGATATTTTCGACTAGGCAATTGGCTCTATGTGAGCTGAAGTAAACTTCAATTTGTCCACCCCGACAAACTGATGCGGAGGGTGGATGTATTTTGCTTTATGTGTTTGATGAATTAATTTTCATTTTAAACATCTTGAATTTGCAATATTTAGATTTTGGATGATCTATAGGATTTTGGATATTTGAATGGAGCTTTAATGGCATTTGAAAATATTTGTGAACCACTCCGGTTGATATTTGCATTCAACACGGCCATCATCGAGGTAAGGTTAAAGTCATATTTTCGTAGGAATTTGAATTTTCGTGGAAGTTTGGAAGCATTTGAAATTGTTTGTGAAACCCCTCCGGTTGAGATTTTCTATTAAACACGGCCATCATTGGGTGTTTGGGGTTATTTCTATTTGAAAATATATAAATTTTGTGGATGAACCTTGTTGACTCCGTCGAGTTATACAGAAGATCGGGTTCCTCGGGCTTCATGCCTTTGTTTGTGAACTTTCTTTGTTAAAGGCCTTGAAGGCCTAATATGAATGTATAAGATAAATATTCCGGTCGACTTCATGACCGTATATTTATCTGATAATTTGAACCCTGTCTACTCCTATTTACCTACTTAGAAGGATCGGGTTTCGTAGGCTTTGTGCCTTTATTAGTGAATTCTCTTGATTATAAGCCTTGAAGGCCTAATATAAATGTATTAAAACAAATACATCGGTCGCCACAACCGTGTATTTGTTTGAAGGTTCGAACTCTGTCGACTCCTATTGATTCACATAGAAGGATCGGGTTCAAACTTGAATTCACTTATTGACCCGCGCAGCATCCCTAGACGTCACGTAGATACCAATAACACGCTCGCTGGAGCCCATGCGGGTCTTTAAGAGTTTCATTGATTGGACGTGCCCCTTTGTGTACCTATGTGTATATAAACTACAGTGTACGTGCAGTGGCACTTTGAAATAATTGTAGTTGTCCAGGTGATTGACATTTCAATGCACAAAACATTTCATTTGAAAGCTTATATACGTCTTTTGTCCGCTAATACGAGTGTTGCGGATCCAGTGGCAGTCTTATCTGGATGCATGAGGCATCTCGTCATCTTGATGTTGACTCCCCTTTCTTGTTCACCAGGGAGGTCTTTCTTGAAATTTGTGTCCACTGCCTTGAAAGGGACTCTTTTCAAGCTCTTTAGTATAGTAGAGTTGTTACTTCCGGTATTTGTAAACACCATAACTATTTTCTTCCTAAGGATAGGACCAAGAATAAACTTTGGAACACCAGAAAATTTAGTTCAAATTTGTTCAAACTTCCCTTTCGCTCTGCCAGGAGGTGTCCTTCTCCGTACGCCAAGTTGCCCTTGTACCTGACGTCTCGTAGACCTTAATTACCGTTATCGTAAGTGACATCTGTACTTGTGTCCACAAGGGTTCGTTGTATTTACGATATACCCATTGTTATTATCTACAAGCGGCTCATGTACATTTGTGGGGGACCGCTGTATCCACTACGACCTCCTGGAGATATTCGTAGAAGAGATGTTGTTTCTGCATCATATCCACCTTTCCGAATCTCAGGTGCTTTGATGATTATACTTGTTTGTAGGGACGGATCTTCCACCATCAATTGACAGTTTTGTCTTCTTCAATCAATAGGCATACTTATAAGGATTGTTGTAGGAATCCACTATATCTGTCAGCATCATTTTTTATGCATCATATATGCAGGTATTGATGATTGATCCTCGTTTGCGGTCACTCATTTTGATAATCATTTGTTATATGTATGCCTTGGAGTCTTTATTCATCAACGGCCAACGTCACCCTCTCAATTTATAGGGTAGCTATTGTTTGCGTGGTAGGTCTTTGATTGCCGCATATGGGTAAGTACTCGTGCGCTTTGCAACTGTCTGTTGTTACTTACAAGTACGGTGCATTGACTTTGTAAGGACTGTTGTAGGAGACTGCTGCATTCATCAGTATCATCCAATATGTATTTTGTCTCATGCGTTCATAGGTTTTGATAATTGATATTTGTTTGTGATTGTTCAAATACTATAAATGGATTACTGTTCATTGCTTATATGCATCGAGATCCTGTTCGCCACAAGTCCCCTGCTGTTTACTTGTATTTGTTCGAATGCATTAGATTGTTCTTATTTGGCATTTGAATTGTGATCTTGATCGTGCATTTTAGAGTTTGGGGTTTTATTTCTTGTAGTTTAGTTCAAGTCCAAGTCCCCTGTTGTTCGTACAAGTTCTCTGCACATATAGTTTAAGTTCTATGCATTCATGTCCAAGTACAAACCTTCTTCATTGTTGCCCAAATGAGGCCTTCTTATTGTTCAGGCTTTGTGCACTTCAATGAAAATTTTGGCAGCATCCCCACATATCCTCTGTTTGGGGAAAATGTAGGGGAGCTTAGCCTTCCCACCATGCTACTCGAGCGTGTACGGTAGGTGTCCTTAAACACTGCGTCCGTACATCTTTTCATCCGACCACGCTACAAGAGCGTGTATGAGGCCTTCAACAATACGCGTTCCACAACACCAGTGGCTCTCCCCACCACGCTACAAGAGCGTGTATAGGGCTTACCCACCTTGCCGTATGCGTCACACCAGGCTCCCTCCTACCGTGCTACGAGAGCGCATATAGGAGGTTCTCTAGTCCGTCGCAAACGCCGAGAATGGGATTTTAGAACATTATACGTTTCGTAGCAGTGTCGGCAATGCTGATGTCAAGGCCGAGGACAGTCCCCATCATGCTACAAGAGTGTGTATAGGGCTTACCAGCCTCGTCGCACTGGATTCCCCGTGCTACGAGAGCGCATATAGGAGGTTCTCTAGTCCGTCGCAAACGCCGAGAATGGGATTTTAGAACATTATACGTTTCGTAGCAGTGTCGGCAATGCTGATGTCAAGGCCGAGGACAGTCCCCATCATGCTACAAGAGTGTGTATAGGGCTTACCAGCCTCGTCGCACTGGATTCCCCCCCCCCCCCCCCAAG